GCCTGGCAAGTGTGAGGTCCTGAGTTCGATTCCTGGTACCCACCCTACCCCAAAATAGCACACCCTGCAGAATCCTGGGCTAAGTCTGTGGGCCCAGATGGCCAGGATTCTCAAGCAGCCGTGCTTGCTGAGGGGTGTGGGAGGCTGTGCGGTACCCTCCGCCTCTCTACCCTGCACAGCAAGGTCCTAATGGAAGGCTGGCTGCCACTGGTCACTCCCCCTTCACTTGGACTCCTGTCCTGCCCTCCCTTTCCTCCTACCAGCATTACACACTGATTTCTCAGTATCTGACCTCTTCAGGTATTTCTACCAAATGTTACAAATTTGCTCGTTTCTCTAATTCTGCTTTTTAAAATATAAAAAAAATTTTTTTGAGATAAAGTCTCACTATGTAGGCAAGGCTGGCCTTAAACTCTTGATCTTCCTGCCTCAGCCTCCTGAGTGCTGGAATTACAGGCATACACTACTACACCTGGCATTAAAAAGTAAAAGGTGAGAATTCTAGTGCTAAGGGTGTATCTGCGACACAGCACGTGCCTCTTGTGCAGAAGGGCCTGGATTCAATCCCTAGTACTAGCGGGTAAATGTTATAGGTTCCCAGTGTCTGATTCCATTGTGGGTTTGATTCTTCCCAACTGGCTCTAAACTAGAGCTGTCTATTCTAACGACTTCAAAAGTAATGCATGGTAACTGCATGCAGTGGCACATATTGTAATCCCAGCTATGTGGGAAGGCTGAGGCTGGAGGATCTCGCATTTGAGATCAGCCTGGGGAACACAAGACCCTATCCTCAGTGAAAAAATAAAAACAAACTTACAAGCAAAAACAGATCTTGCATTTAAAGTAGCAGTCGTCACCCAAGTCCCCAGCATTCACCAGTCCCTGACACACAGGCGCTCAGTTCTGTAATCCCAGCACTCAGGAGGCTGCGGCGTAAGTTCTGTGAGCTCAAGGCCAGTCTTAACTACATAGCGAGACTGTCTCAAAGACACACAAAAAGAAAATGAGGCATAGTGGCACATGCCTGTAACGCCAGCACTTGGTTTAGGCATGAGGATCCCCATAAACCTGAGGCCTGCCTGTGCTACATAGCAAGGCCCTGTCTCAGACTCACACTGCATAGCCTTGAAGGGAGGAGTTAACTTCCTTTAAATGTAACACTGACAGAATAGAGAACATAACATCTAGAGACCCATTTTTGATTTACTAGATGCAAAACTCCGTATGGCAACCCTCTCATCTGGGGAAACCCAGTGACTCCATGTGGGGAATGCTGACTGCTCGGTGATGGGCGCCTGAAGCCCACTTCCGGGAGGTCTGCATCTCCAGGAGGGCCACTTCCAGACCTGTCCCCTGATCCCACCTCTTCCATTCCCCACCACCACCTGACGCCTCTGCTATCCAGAGAAACTAAGGCACAAAAGAAAAGAACATTAAAGGTCCACCCCTAAGTTCTTTAGTTTATTCAGTGAACTCCTAACCAGACCCAATGGGGCTCCACTAAGTATAAAGCTTGAGCCATGATTCCACTTTCCAGTACAAAGGACAGGCTCTGAATAACTTTACTGTGTAAATCAACATTAGTGGTGGTGGGGCTTGTTTTATGAACTCCTAACACAAGTAACATTCATTTTCTAGGAAGGGAAACTTGTAACTATCTTTTTAGCTCAGTCACAGACTACACTAAGTCACCAAATTCAAATGAGAAATTGGGCCTTTGGGTGAGTGTGCTGGAGAGAACGCAATCCAGTTACTGTCTCGTATTTATAATAATTTTTTTTGTTTTTTTGGTGCTGGGGATCAAAGTTGGGCCTCACATGCTAAGCACACGCTGTACCACTGAGCTCACCCCAGGGCCTGGATAGCTTCTCTATGATGCATTGCCAGGAACAGGAAGTTTGAAATATGCAGCAACACAAGCTTCCTGCGTACCTCCCCACAGGTGGCCAGCAGGTAGGGCAAGGCAATCAGAATGCGCGGTGACTCTCCTGGCTAGTTATTTGCAAGGCAGTTTATTATGTACATGGTGGGATAAAAGCCACCGTTAAGTGAAAACTCTATCTGTAGATATAAAAATTGCTTGCTTTTTAATCTATGTAAAGTTAACTCTAAGATATTTGTCAATCACCATATGTATGTGATAGCTTACACATGTATTTATAGACAAGAGCTGAAAAGTCAACACCAACAATTTTTATGGCTTTCATTAGAGATAGCTCTGATAGGGAAGAGCACGTGGATTCCACGTTACATGGGCATCACAGAACTAGTGACACAAAGTCTTGCGTTTCACTCCTAGGCATCCTCTTGCCTGGGAAATGCTTTGGGGAAGAAACACGCAGGGCTGTGTCTCCCTTCAGTGTATGGAGTCAAGGGGCTCTGGGACATGGAGGCTGCAAGACAGAAGGGTTCTAACATCCACTGTCTACCCAGCTTCCTTTGCCAAGCAAGTGGTTCTCTTTGTCCATTACCAGCTAAACCGCAAACTGTGGCATGAAGGCTCCTGGCTGTCTGGAGCCTGAACAGGCAGAGCTGGACATAGTTCTTAGGTGCTAAAAACCAAAATCTATAGCCTAGGTATAGCTGGTTAGCAAGCACATCCTTCTATGCAGAACAGACTGAAGGGAACCACCCAAATCTTACAGGAGATCTTCTCTTTGGTGAATAAGCAGAGATCACCCCAGGACGGACGTGCTGGCCACAGGACTGCCCCGACTGGTTATGGCCAAGGAGCTGTCTGCTACTGGTTATGGCTATTGTCAGCTCTGGGGACAGCTAGAGTCCACAATGACTTGATCTTCATTTTTAGAAGTTTATAGTTTCTGCACTTCTGAAGTTCTTAACATGTTAAACACTGAATAAAAATTGACAATGCAGGTTCACCAGTATAATGTTCCTTAATACCCCCTGTGGTCTAGAACTGCTAAATTAAAACAATCATTCAAAATCCTAACAATGTCAATAATTTTATTTTTATACAAATGATGGACAGAAAGTGATATTTTAAAAATCAAAAGCAAGTATATGTTAAAAAAAAAGGTAAGGGACAAGGATATTTGGCCAGTGGGTTAATTAAGCTCATTGAAAGTATTCCTAACAAGAATACTTGTACAACTATAAGCCTATTCGATTTTCCCCTAAAAATAAATATACAGATACATAAAAACTACTGTAATGAAATCTTTTCCAGACTGACATTATATACTCCACCCGGGACAGTTTCTCAGACTTCAATGTTATAAAAAGACAGTGGCCAGCTTCTGAGCCGTGTGCGGAAGTCTGATCTGCTCGTACAGAGAGCCGTGTGGCCACCTTCACACAACAGGCCTTTTGGAAGGAGTCTGTTGTCATGGATTAGTTCCCTTACCCAACCCACCCTGTGCCCTAAAGATTTATAGCCTTAAATTACACTCTCAAATCACCACCCATAACGCAAATACAGGCCCCACTGCACTGCTGCTGGATTTTGTCTTAATCATAGCACCAACTACTTAATCTACAATCACAGCTCTGCGAGTCGGCTGACAGAAATCCTGTAACAGTTTCCTAGTGCATCTTACGTCTTTGGTGTAGGGCAAGCAAGAGTCTACAACACGTGGCTGCCTGTACGTGCATTTAAAGACAGCCGGGTTCACCTGTTGTTCTGAGCGCCCACTGGAAAGCAGTAAACAACAACTCCTTCTGTCAACCGCTTCCTAACTTCAGAAAGGGTCACGATGAACCTACGTGACCTGCCCCAGGTCACTGAAGTCTCAAAGCACACACACAAGCAACACAGAAAAGAGAGACTGGGATAAGGAAAACAGAAACGCCACTAAGTGCTGCTAAATTAAAAGTTTCAAAAAACTCCTGAGATGAGCCTCTGTTTTGATTGTGCTCGGTGATTTAAATTTTGATGAAAGGAACAAGCTTTCAGAGAGATTTCAGGAAAAAATCATTTAAGTTCAGAGATCACTTTTTCAAAAGCTTCTGCTGCAAACATGTTGCAAACTATAATCTGGAATCAGAAATAATCATTCTCAAAATTCATTTTTTAGAAAATTTTAATTTTTATTACTTTTTTCTTGAGACAGGGTCTCATTATGCAGCCCAGGCTGGTCTCAAACCTGTAATCCTCCTGCCTCAGCACCACCATGCCTGGCTTTCAAAATTCTTAAAAACAAACAAACAAAAAAAAATCAAGATTTCAGATTCCTGCTAGGTGACTAAAAAAACAGTTCATTTTCTAGGAAATAATTATCTAAAACCTATCCAGTAGGATTATTGCACAGTGGGGCCCACAGGACAATGACTTCCAAGGGCTAGTCCTTATATATAAAAAAGGCCACAATAAATACTTCTATATATTTTGCCCCACTCTAATCTGACATGGTAAACACAAACATGAATCTTGCTTTAAAAAGAAACTCCTGAGGAAAGAAAGGGATGGAAAACTTTACCAAGGCCACTTGAGTCAGAAACTACTATTACTATTTTCACTGCCACGAATGACACCAAATCGACCATTCCCAGCACCAAGATGATCCAGGGACAAGATTATCACACTTCCGTATCTCCCTCAGATCACAGCCCAAACGGAGCTCTGGAAGAACTTCCTAGTAGAAGATGAGCTTGAAAAGGAAATAAGCTGCTGGCAATCGACCCATCTAACTGAACTTGTGTTTGTCATCAGTCATTAAGGGCTGAGGTGTTATCAGGGAGATGCTAGCAAACCCAATCTGTAGTAAATTCCAGTGTTTATCTAGGCCATTGTTTTTCTTGCACAGTCCTTGACATCTGCAAATGGAATCATGATTAGGGCCTTTTTATTCCTTCCCTTTTAAAGTCTGGGTAGCACCATGTACCACTCTAACATTAATTCTAAGACATCCCACCCAATGTAATGAAGATATTTGGCAATCAACCCATGCGTGCAGCAGCAGACGTGATGCACAAAGTAGCCCCCTGCTCACCCTATTAAAATGTCAAATCCTGAGCACACAAATAAAAGCATACCACTCTAGGGTATATTATTTAATTATTCTTCAAAGTCCTGTCATGAGTGGTGAATCCTAATACACACTGTGCAGAATTCCCAACACCAAGCTGTATGGTCTCAAGTTTCTAGGCTGATGGCTGAGTGAACAAGCCACACCCTGCCTGTAGCAGAGACAGGTGGGAAGCTGACCTGTTTCTAGTTGCATGCGTGGGGGGATTTCTCATGGTCTCTGCTTTTTAAAGCATTCACTCTCATTTTAAAGTGTTATGCTATACACGAAACCATCCATTTTATTCCAGAATACATCACCTCAGTGAGAATAAAAAGCTTTTGTATGCACATACTGCCAATACATTCTTAAAGGCCCAAAATTTAACAAGTAGGATAGACAAATTCATCAGACGAGAGATCATAAATTACTTTGGCCAAAAAGAAAAAAAAAATCATTAAAAAAATCTGGCTCAACATTCTGCTTGCAGGTTTCTACATATACTGTGTATGTGGTGAGTGTGTATGTGTGTGTATAGAGAGTGCTTTTTTTTTTTTTTAAAAGGGAATGGAGTACGGTCTAGCCCACTTCTCCATAGTTACGTGGGAACTACAATGTTCTTTGCTAGCAAAACAAGAAGTGCAAGGTCTGCATTTCCACCAACTCGATGCAAAGCCCCAAGAGCTTCCTGCAAAGTAAAACCGGCCCGAAGAATCCGGTCAATATCTGTGGCAGGAAAAATTAAGGGTGAGAGGAGGGAGGGACTTGACAATGGATGGCTGGTTGGTGGCTCCAATTCAAGAAATGGCCATGCAGCGTCAGGACAGGCGTTTTCTCTGGTTTCAGGCCTGTCTATTCCTGGATTCTGTACGCCATGACCCCAATCTTTAACCAGTATGAAACTAGATGGCGAAGACTGTGTTTGCTCAGGAATCTGATCGACGGCATCCTGCTCACCGGCCTGGAGACGGGGTGAAATTTCTACACCTATGGTGCAGGGTAACTGATTAGATGATTTCGCTGAGGTTACAGTGACAGAACCGCTCCCGCTGACGGACTCTCTGGATGTGGGGGCACCTTCCTTGTCAGCTGACGGGCCGTCACCTGGACCCTGGAAGCCAGTACTTCCCGCATCTTCTGTTCTGGCGCCAGGCGCTCCGCCCACGCTTTCTGTCTTCACTGACACACATGTGGCCAGATGACAGCAGCCTTGTGGACACGGGTCTCTGTGGGGCAGACACTCATTCTGAGTCTGGCTTTCTGTAACACCTGTTTGGCCCTCCGGCACTGTTTCTGACTGACAGCTACCTTCGGGTGTATTTTCTGAAGCTGGCTTACTACTACTGATCAAAAGTTCATGAAGTTCTTTCAGGGCTGCTGTGACAGACGAACAAGGTTCTTCTGCTGCCTCCACAGAGGGCTGACAACTGCCGCAGAGACTTAGGGAGGGTAGGTTTTCCCCATGTTCGTTATTTGTTCCAGACATTTCAACATTGCTTTCTGGGAGCTGTAACGCCTGAGTGGAGATAGGATTATTCGCACTTCCAGATGCACGGCTACACTTTGATGTTTCTACTTCCATCAAGGGGTTCTCTGATGGGAGACCAGATGCACCAGCGTTCTCCACAGCGGCAATCTGCCTGCCTGCTGAATCAAGCACAGCAACTAGGCTCTGTTCCACCACATCTATTTCCATGAGCATTTCTGCATTCGAGCAGCCGAAGCATCCCGGGGGTGGAAAGCTTTTCTCCGTGCCCGGAAGACATGCGTTCTGCTGTAGCCCATCTCCTGTCATCGCTGCTTTCAAATCAACACTTTTCTGCTGACCCTGTTGCCTCTCTTCCGGAAGCTGAAGGTCCCCCGGGTCACAAAGCTGTCCTTGGTCTTGTGGAGCATCCTGCTGTACCTCATGCTGTTTACTCCCTGGTTCTGTGTGCTGCTGAAGGCCCTTGAGTTGGTGCAGGCTCTGATTTTCTGGGTGCCAACCCTTTTTGTCTACAAGCATCAGTGGTTCATGCATCTTAGTAGTTGTGACAGATAAATTAGCTTCCTGTCTTGTATGGAGATAAAATTTGAGGCCCTGGGTGCTTCTTTCAGCAGATTTCTCCAGATTATCTCTCATGACTGCTTCTTCGGATGAATTATGCAAAGGCATAGCTGGACTCTCGTCTGCTGAAAAAGCATGATCAGAAAGATCCTGTAGAGGAAGAAGTTCTTTCTTTTTTGAGTTCATCTGGAACTCAGATGAAGCCTTCAAAGCCTTCACAGCTTGAGGTTCAATGCTATCTGGGTCACTGGGCTTGGTAGGGCAGACTGAAGCAGAGGCAGAGCGAGCAAGACTCGGAGGACTACCCACCCCAGGACTTGGTCCTGAACAGTGGGCTGGATGGGTAAACCCATCTGAAGTTGGTGATGATGACATTCCCAGTGAGGTAGATTCTTTACCGCTTTTCTCTGTCACAAAGGGAAAGCAAACAGATTAACTGGCAGGTAACAAAGGCCACTAAACTATCAGCGGATATAAATCTAAACAGGGTAGAATAGAAGTCCTTTAATTCTGGTTTCCCTTACATATACAGACATGATTTCTAAAACGTAAGAATCTTCACGAGTAAAGCAATTTAACATCACAAAATCAGAAGAAGATGCAGGAATGTTCCTGACAGCACATGCTCACTGCAGTTCGGTGCGTATTTATGTAACAGTTGAGCCAGTGCTCAGGCTGCAGCACACTTACACATCTCTCTTCCCAGGGAGTCTAAAGCTCTAGGCCAGTTTCTTCAAGTGTGTTTTTTCTACCACTTGTCCTACAATTGCATGGGAGGCTTGTGAAATATGCAGGCTCTAGGGTGCCATCCTTAAGAGTAACTCCAGGAGACTGCACTTTCAATGAGCTCCCTAAGTGATTCTTTTTTTTCTTTTTCTTTTTGAGACTGGGTCTCACCCTGTAGTTCCAGCTGGCCTTGAACTCACTTTGTAGCCCAAGCTAGCCCTGAACTCTCAGGGATCCTCCTGCCTCAGCCTCCCGAGTGCTGGGATTACAGGCATACGCCACCATGTCCGTCATCCCCAAGTGATTCTTAAGCACATCACAAGGGTTCTTGAGGACCCTTGCAGCGCGGTAATTCCTATGCCAATGTATGTTTCAGCTGTGAGCACTGAACTTAGAAAGCACGAAAGCAGATATACTTGGGACAGAGCAGGAATTACAAGGAGAAATAAGAATCTGCATAATGCCTGCAGACTTCCAGGAAAATAGAAGAGCTAAAGATAAAGATCAAAGAGATTAAATCCCAATCATTACCCTATCAAATATTATACCTTTAAAGGATTATTAGTTACATTTAGTACAATTAAGCACATTTAAGCAGCTTAAGAACAGAAGAATAGGGAAGTGAATAGTAGAGGGAAACTGCAATAGTTTTTCAGCAGGCAATGACTATTTTTTGAGACAGGGCCTTGGTATGTAGTTCAGGCTGGCCCGAACTCACGCAATGCCCCGGCCTCAGTCTGTGGCAGCAATGACTATGCTCAGAGTCACTGCAATTAATGAACCTCAAGCGTGATGGCGGGCTTGAACACTATCTCAGTGCAGGTACCATAACGATATCATGGAGTATCAGTCCCAATTTTCCTTTTGACACTGAACAAGTTAAAAATTGACCAAAAGCATGTATTATAATTTATAGTAAAGACCAGTCACAATACATTGTCTGGTTAGATGTAATGCAAATCCTTTGGGCTGAATATTAACATCCAATCCAGGACCCTGACCTTGACTGAAGTCATAAAGCAATGCAGTTTCAAACAGGTTTAAATCATTCTAATCAAACACTGGTTAACAACACAAGAAGATAAAGCACCGTGTCAGGAAGTTATTGACTTCTTACAAAACAATCTCACCTTACAGTTTAGCAGTAAACAGGCAAACAGTGTGTCTTAGTAAATTATATCTATCAGAATCTAGAAACACAGTCACTGGTTTGTCAATCTAATTATTAGGCTGATTGTGAAAGAGGTTCAACTCTGATCTAATGCTAATAGAAAACTGCACTGTAATGAAACATCCACATTAGCAACATAGAAAGGTATGATAAAGGCCATCTAGCATTGGTACACCAGTTATAAACCACCACGGAGGTGGAGGCCAGCACCTCCTCAATCGGTATTGTGCCCACTAAGAGAGCAGCACATAGCCCTCTGCACCTGCCATGGACGCTTTTATCAGCCTAAATCCTAAATGTAGTGTAGGACCGGGTCAGGACAATAGGACATTCAGGAGAAGAGAATAATTGATGCAAAGAATAATTAAACTGTGGCTTACAAGGGGAAAAGAGAGAGTAGAGGAGAAAGAGGGAGAAGAAGAGAGAGAGAGGAGGTAAGGAGAGAAGGGAGAGGTAGGTAGGTAGAGGTCTGAGGATGAGGTAAGGGGGATTAAATGCTATGAATTCAATTACAACCAGCCAGAAAATCCTTATAAAGCCCTTATTTTGTGAAATAAAACCCTTCCTTGTCTTGCTATCTCAGCCAATATACTCAGGCTGACAACGATCTTGTTTGTATCACAGGGAAATGGAAGCAGAATAGAAAATCTATCAGGGCAGTGAACAGGGAAAGGCAGAGTCTCAGTTCTTGTTGCAGGGATAATAAAATGGAAGACCTGCTTGTTACCAGCTCTTGTGACTCTGGATAAGTCATCTGGCTCAAGCTTCCATTTCTTCTGGAACAGAATGAAAATTTCTGCCCCTACCTCCTTTTTTTGGAGACAGGGTCTCGCTATGCAGTTCAGGCTGGCCTTGAGCTCACTTTGTAGCCCAGGCTGGTCTCGAACTTAACAGTCCTCCTGCCTCAGCCTCCCGAGTGCTGGGATTACAGGTGTGCGCCACCACGCCCAGCTCATAATGAGAATTTCTGACCTTCTGGAACACAAGGTAGTCATGTGCAGTATCAGGAAAAAGAGCTTCCAGTTTTTCAGAGGAAAGGGACTTAGGAGAACTGAAAGTGCACAGGTATCTCTCATGACAAAGTGCTGTGATGCCAACATTCTTGACTTGATATTCATAACAGCTAGTAGTTATGGCTGCTACGATGGGCACTTTTTACTTTTTCCCTCTTCTGTAATGTTCTAATTGATAAAATTTCCAACAGGAATTCCTACTTATGTATGTGTGTATGCCAACATACACACAAAGCTAAATACCACAGGCTAGTTGTAACCATGAGTAAACAGGGTGAAATGGTCGATGGCAGAAGCTAACTTCCAAAACTGCTACAGATGCAGAGGCTTTGAGAGCACAGACGACAACTGCATGGAAGGCTTCACGTGGTGGCTATAAATACCTGGTCTGGGGCCCACTCCAGCTGCAGTACACACACACTACATGCATCATGGCTTCTGACGCTCTGTTTGGATTAGGAAACAGACAAGCAAACTTGGGTTAACAATGCAAACCACACAGCATGCAGGGGTACAGTCTCCACTCCTTTGCCATCTTTGAAATCAGGAACTAACTCAAAGTTGGGGAATATTTCTATAGTTTGGACATCCAAAAGATTTGCTGGTTATGTGAATTCTCCCACAATATATAAAACGATGTGTCGACTTCAAAAGATTTTTTTTTTCTTTTTGAGACAGGGTCTCACTATGTAGCCCAGGCTGGCCTTGAACTTACGGCGATCCTCCTGCCTCAGGCTCCCAAGTACTAGAATTACAGGCATGCGCCACCATGCCCAGAGCTCAACAGATTTTTAATTGAATTTAGAAGGAAATTAATTTCACACATCCACACTCAAGAGAATTTATGAGCAAACATGTCCGGTGAAGAAAGAAGATCCATCAGATAAAATTAAATGATAGTATCTTATGGCATAAAGGTGAGTGAACACATGTAACAATTATTTCCCAAATTTCTCAGCTGAGATTCACTTTTAGAAGAAAAGAAATAAGATTAAATTTTATCCTGACTTTCCTTCTTTACTTTCAGTTTTAAAATAGCTCTGACTCTAAATTCTTTCTTGTTTTTTTTTTTTTTTTAGTGGGGGATAATATAAAGAATTGCACCACAGCCTTTGCACTGAACTATATCTGTAGCCTTTTTTTGATAAAGGATCTCCCTTGGTTGCTAAATTACCTGTCCTGGGCTGAAACTTGTGATGCTCATCTCAGCCTCCCAAGAGTACTGGGATTAGAGATGTGCGCCACCACCGCTGGCTAAATTATTTTTCAAGTGATAGAAAGTATAAATAGACTTTGATGAAAAATACCAATTAAAACAACTTTTCACAAAATACCTTCACCTAGTATGTCCAGAGTTTGGATTTGGGAAGTTAAATTTTCCAAACAGGATCTAATTTTGCGTAAGTATTTAAAAATTATAAAAATTAGCATAAGCCACACATATCAGTAACAAAAGATTACATGGATAAAAAGATACTTCCTTTTTATCTTTTAAAACTCATACTGAAAACGTCTGTGGTATGTATTTTAATCTCCGAAAGTTTCTACTAAAATAAGGTAGTCACCGAAGAGGGTAACGTTACCAGGAGGTTACAAAACACAGCTGTCATCAGCTAATGTTTCTCTAATAATAGACAAAGACAGTGGAGGGAAAGAAAAGAAATTTCGGAAATGGTAATTTATCTTCATATTAACATGTAGTATGACTAAGCTGACAAATTACCCTAAATTAAGTAGGCAGCTCAGATTTATTCACGCTTACCTTGTTGGGAGGTTAAGATTCTCCCCTTCCTTCAAATTACATAAACCGCAACCAAAACTCCACTTCTGGGTTGGCGGGGGGCTTGAACACAGGGCCATGTGCACACCAAGTGCTCTGCCACTGGGCTATGCCTGCAGCCCCAAACTGCACTTTCTGTGCAACACTGGGCTAGAACACGACAGACCTTTTAGATTCTGACCAAGGCCAGCTTGGACAAGTGCATCTGCTACCCAGGCCCATTTTAGGCACAAGGCTGGAAGGTGAAATGTTCTCAAGTAACACACGGCAACAGCCACGCATGGTGGCAGATGCCTGTAATCTCAGCATTCTGGGAGGCTGAGGCAGGAGAAGCACCAGTATGAGGCCAACCTGGACAAACTAGTGACTTCGAGAGACCCCGTCTCAAAATTAAAATTAAAAGGACTGGGGATATAGCACAGCGTGAAGGCTCTGGGTTCTACCTTTAATACTAGGGGGAAAAAAGGGGCAAACCTGGCTGCTTTTTACCTCTTCTGTCATTAGAAGAAAGCCATTCCCTGAAAATCTAACTCTAGTACATTTTACTGCACTAGAAAAAGCAATGGGTGACATTAATCATTTGATGAATAATTGTGTCTCAAGACTTTAAAATAACTCAAACTGAAAAGGTAACTCTTAAAAAAAAGTAATTTTTTTCAAACTTCTACAAAATACATCCCACAGTCATTGTTCTGTAACAGATGGGGGATT